CGCTTTATTGTAAATCTTCTTGTGCAAGAGCGGATGGCAAGTGTGGATGCTTTGCAGAAGAACGGCCATTCTTGCGCAAGAACCCGCCAGTGTAGACATAGCCTGTGTGTCTTAATCAACCATGTAACCATCATTTTATTGTAGGAATAGACTGTGTTGACAGGCCTTGTGGAATCTGTGAGTCCTATGGAGTGATTTGAACGAAAGGATGGAGCACAATTTGAAGGCTAAGGTTTCAGGAAGTTTGTTCCAGGCATGAAGGGGACATGCAGTGGACAGAGCAGAAACTAGCATAGAAGGCACAAGTCAGTCCTTTCTTGTTGGTTTAAGGGAATTGAAAGCGTTTATGGAAGCAGAGAGACAAAATCAGAAAGGTAGGCAGTAAAGAGGAAAAGCAGCAGTAAAGAGGGCTTTGAAGTCATGGGCAAGGAGCTTTTATTTAATGCAATTGTCACTGCCTGTCCTTCTACACGGAAAAGGAAAAAAATAATTAAATAGAAAACCATCCCCATAATCCTGCTTTTTGGCCACTTATTCAGACTGCAAGTTCAAGCCTTCCAAAGCTGACTAGTCAGCAATCTCTGCTATATCTGCACAAACCATGTAAATATAACCACATGCTGAGACTGCTCATTTTAAAATTTTCAGCTATACAGTACTATCCTGTTGATCAAATGTGGCAATTATTGTAGGCCTAAAAGCTTTTAGGGATAACAATAAATGCTGCCAGTCAATGCTAAAAAAGAGAACATGAATTCAAAGAGCAAATCCAATGACAAATCACAGCGACATGTTTAACCAGAATATATTATGGATTAAGATAATTTAACACAAAGGCTCATGAACTTCAAAAATGCAACAAGCTAGGGAGCAAAGAAAAAAAGATGGAAATGTGGGCGTGTCTTGCACTGTTTAATTTGTCTCCCTCCAGCCTTGGTTTTAATGACTCACCAGGTGTACTAATGACTTCTGCAGTTGAACATGTTAATAACTTTATACTACAGTTTGACCATGAATTGTAATCTTTTAAAATGCTATATTCTCACATGAAATGTATGTTTAGAGACAGAATAACGTTATGAGGGTCATTCTGAATTGTTATCTTAAGTTATGATATTTTATTTTTAAATCTGTATTTATACATTTAAGGATGCAATTTAACTTTATACTTCAGTAAACTCTATGGAATATCTACCTCTCAGTTTATGATGTAATTTAACACAAAATCTGAATAATTAGACAGCACAGATAATGCCAGGATACCTGAGCTGTAAGCCTGGCTCTGATAATGCTTCCTCTGATCCTGGGTTTAATGCTTTCAGTGTGATGTTAGGCTCTGTTCCAGTCTCTGTAATAATCACCATGGCATTAAGTGCCCATTAATTGTTATTACAGTTGTGGGTACTCAGCATCTCTCTCTCTCTCTCTTTTTCTCTCTCTCCTCTGGGTATGTCTATACTGCAGATTTTTTCCCGAAAAATGGTTGGCAGAAAGTCAAAAGCATGAAGGGGTTTTTCTGACAATGGTAAGCCTCTTTCGATGAAGAAGAAGCCTTTTTCCAAAAAAAGCTTTTTCAGAAAAAGGCATTTGTGGATGCAGAAGAGAGTGTTTTTTCAAAAGAATAGGCCTCCAGGAAAAAGCACAGATGCCCCGGTGGCCACACCGTCCACAGTAATCACAACTGAAATGCAAGATAGCGTCCAATCAATGTGGACACTATGTTTTGAAAAATCACATCGCTTTTTCAGTGCATTTTTTGCAGTGTAGATGCTCTCTTTCGAAAAAAAAAATTCTGGAAGATCTCTTCTGGAAGAGCTTCTTCCGAAACAAATTTGCAGTCTAGACATAGCCTCTCTCTTGTTCTCGCTCTCAACCCTCCCCCCCCCCCAAGAAAAACAAAAGAACAACAACAACCCAACCCTGGGTATCACTAGATGGACATTCTTAAATGCTTTTTTCTGAGCCACTTTTCATAAGGTTTTGCATGTACACTCAGCCCTATTTGTATATATGACTAATAGAGATGTCATTATAAGTTGTATTGTCTTTTGAATTTATTTATTTTCAAGAATTAGTACAACAGTCCATCTTAGTTATTTTAATCCTTTCCAGTTTGAACTTCAGAAGCCTTCTCAGTAATCTCCTATCTGTTGCATCCATTAGTTTACAGACACAAAATGCAAATCACTGAAGAGTTTTATGTGTGCCCTAGAAAAATACTGCTGGTGTTACTTGCCCCAAATGTTTAAGAATCATAAATCAGGCTCCAAGAAGTAATGAGTGTAGTTTAAAAATTCCAATAATGTTAAAACAATAAATTGTGTGTTCTTTTTATTTGTCTTCTAGTGTTTGAGCCTTTAAGGTTTAAACCTTCCTGAGAATAAAAAAATAGATTAGATTATTATTAAATTATTAGATTTTGTTAATCGAAAGATGAGATTCTACCATAATCACATGACTCCAGCAGATGCAGCTTTAAGAAAAAACCCCAATAATGCATGGTGTGTGATAAAAATCATGCAAGTTTATTTCCTCCATTATTATTTCCAATTTTTAACGATTCAAAAGGAGATAACACGCCATGATCCTGAGAGCTATCCAATGGAACTATAACTACTAAGGCCATGCATGCCAGACTAGAAACCAGACCAAGCCAGTTCACCAACCCACCTAGTAAGGGCTGGCTGGGAGTGGGCTAACAATCCACTTTCCTAACAAAGCTGGAAGCCTGTGCTACTGCTCAGCTCAACAAACTGGGCCTAATTCAGTTAGATTTTGAAGAGAGATGACAATGTATAATGGCCACACCTGAAAGGAAGCTACTCCTCTAACAAATATGCTCCATTCTAAATCCATAATTAAAATCTGCATGAGAAACATTCAGACATAATATAAGCCTGGTAAAATAGCTCAAGTAACAAGAAAATGGACAGATATAAACTAAATAAGGTAGTAAGATATTTAAGGTTAAAGAGGTGAAGTAAGATATTTAAGGTTAAAACAAATAACCATCATCTGGACATATTCTACTATAATCCGGGCTACTGAATGCCAATGTTATGAACCAGGATGTGGGTAGTCAGGCCTAATAGTCAGAGAAGAAGTGTTCATGCCTAGCACAGAAATGGTCACAGATGGCGCTATAAGCCGTGAACAGAGACAGAGTCAGTAATCAGGAGTCAGGGACCATGTAAAGTTACAGCAAAGACTGGAAGGACAGTGGCAAAATTGGAGTCCAGCCAGGATCAGGTCT